ATATAAATACGCACTAATTAAAAAAAAAAAAGAAATAGACATCCAGTCTTCATGAGTTGAGGGGATATATTTTAGAAGTCAGTTAGCCAGTATATATTAAAATTTATAAATACCCATGAAAAGAAAAGCAGCCCCTGACATATAGAAGCTGCCCTGGCACTCACAGCCAGGACTAGGTGTTCTCTTGTTGAATATAAACAATTCACAGAACATTAATACCAGATAAGGCCGTTCTATGACTGTGATGAACAAGACCATTCTCTAACATGTATGACCACATACAGACATTGTCCAAATCACAAAAATAATCTACTATTCCCCTATTCTGGCTAATATGAATGACTTCTTTTTTACCTATCACAGCTTTAGTCCAGGCATAGTCCTCTGCATTTGTAGAATAAGATTTATTTAGATACCAAATCATAGAATTACTCATGCTTCCTGACAGCTTTCAATCTACAGCAAAGCCTCACTTCTTTAAATCCTCTCCTGAATCACCTAACAAGTCCTAATCCTATAATAAGTCATTTCTCAAACCCTCTTTTTGAAGTACCCCACGATTCCCCATGGTATGTGTTCTCTCTCTCTGCAACCAAACTTCTTCAAATACTGGCATGTTCTTGGTGGTTTTAGCTGGAGGGCATTGTCACTCATGATCTTTGACAAAGAAGTTCCACTTCAAGGAATCATACTGAAATATCCAAACAGGCATGAAGATAGAAACACGGATACATCAACTTTCACAGAAAAAAAAAAAAAAAGAATATGCTAAAGAATAAGAATATGAAAGAATATAGTAAAAAGTATGTTACATGAAAATTACAATACACTGCTGAAAGAAATTAAAGGAGACCTAAATAAGTAAAGAGATATATTTTTTCCATGGGTCGGAAGATTCAGTATTGTTGTGGTGCCTGGGTTGCTCAGTCAGTTAAGCATCTGGCTCTTGATTTCAGCTCTGGTCGTGATCTCACAGTTTGTGAGATAGAGCCTGCTTTAGGCTCTGTGCTGACAGCATAGAGCCTGCTTGGGATTCTCTCTCTCCCTCTCTCTCTGCCCCTCCCCCACTCATGCTTGTGCATGTACACACACACTCTCTCTCTCAAAATAAATCAACATTAAAAAAGTATCTGACTTTCTAAAAAAGATTCAGTATTGTTAAGATGTTAGTTCTCCTTAATCTATTGATTAAAAAATATTTCAATCAAAATCCCAGCTGTAGTTTTTGTAGAAATGGATAAGCTGATTCTACAGTTTATACGGAAAAGCAAAAATAAAAAAAAATAGCCAAAATAACTGAAAAATAATAAAGTTTAAGGATTCACACTGCCTGACTTCAAGACATTATAAAGCTACAGTAATCAAGACGGTATGGCACTGTAATGAAGATATACAAGTAGATCAACGAGACAGAATAGAGTCCAGAAACAGATCCATAAATACAAGGACAATTGACTTTTTGACAAAGAAGCAAAGACAACTCAAAAGAGAAAGAAGTCTTTTAGTCAAGTGATGCTGTTAACAATTGGGTTTTAACTATGCCAAAATAAAGAATTTTAACCTATAACTTGTACCATACACAAAAATCTCAAAATGGATCAGACCTAAATGTGAATCCTAAAACTGTGAAACTTTTAGAATATAGGATAAAATCTTTGTGATCTTGGTTAGGCAATGGTTTCTCCTATGTAACAGCAAAATACAACTGGGGTAAAAAGAAAACAAAACAAAACTGTTCTTTACCAATATTTAAGACTTTATTCCTCAAAAGACACTTTAAAAAATAATTATTTTGAGAGGAAACTCAAGTGGGGAAGGGGCAGAGAGGCAGGGAGAGAGAGAATCCCAAGCAGGCTCTGCCCCATCAGTGCAGAGCCTGATGTGGGGCTCAAACTCATGAATCAGGAGATCATGACCTGAGCTGAAGTAGGACACCTTAAAAGACTGAGCCCCCCAGGCTCAATGTCAAAAGACATTTTTAACAGTGAAAAAACAACCTATAGGCTGGGAAAAACTCTTTGTGTAACATACATTTGTTAATAAGCTTGTTTTCATTATATATAAAAACAACTCTTACAAATCAACACCAATTAAAATGAATCACCTAATTAAAAAAAAGCAAAATATTTACATAAACTTCAACCTATACATACAGATGATAAACATGGATATGAAAAGATGTTCCATATCACTGTCAATAGAGAAACGCAAATTAAAGCTACAAATAAAAAAGAAAACATAGGCAGTAAAGTCTTAGGTATCAGTTTGAGCAATATTTTTTTGGATGTTTCTCCTTATTTTTGCAAGGAAAGCAAAAATAAACTAATGGGACTATATCAAACAAAAGCTTTTGCACAGCAAAGGAGACCATCAACAAAATGAAAAGGCAAGCTACTGAATGGAAAAAGAAGTTTGCAAATGATATAACTGATAAGGGGTTAATATCCCAAATATATAAAGAACTCATAAAACTTGGGGCACCTGGGTGGCTCAGTCTGCTGAACATCCAACTTTGGCTCAAGTCATGATCTCACAGTTTGTGGGTTCGAGCCCCACATTGGGCTCTGTGCTGACAGCTCAGAGCCTGGAACCTGCTTTAGATTCTGTTTCCCTTTCTCTCCGCCCCTCCCCTGCTTGTTCTCTCTCTCTCTCTCAAAAATAAATAAACATTAAAAAATTTTAAAAAAGAACTCATAAAACTCAACATTTAAAAAATCAAAAACACAATCCAGTTGAAAAATAGAGGACCTGAATTGACATTTCTCCAAAGAAGACATACAGATCACCAACATGAAAAGTTGTTCAACAGTACTGATCATTGGGGAAATGCAAATCAAAACCACAGTATCAGCTCACACCTGTCAGAGTAACTAGGATCAAAAAGAAGGAATAACATGTTGGTGAGGATATGGAGAAAAAGAAACCCTCTTGCACTGCTGATGGGAATGCAAAATGGTGCAGCCACTATGGAAAACAGTATGGACTTTCTCCAAAAATTGAAAATAGAACTATTATACAATCCAGCAATCCCACTTCTGGGTATTTATTTGAGGAAAATGACAACACTAATTCAAAAAGATATATGCATGTCTATGTTCACTGCAGCATTATTTGCAATAATCATGATATGAAAGTAACCTAAGTGTCCATCAAGAGACGAATAAAGATGTGGTATATATACAATGGAATATTACTGTCATACAAAAGAATGAAATCTTTCCAATCATGACAACATGGATGGACCTAGAGAGTATTTTGTTAAGTGAAATAAGACAGAGAAAGTCAAGTACTGTATGGTTTCACTTATATGTGGAACCTAAAACACAAACAAACAAAACAGAAACAGACTAATAGATGCAGAGAATAATCTGGTGGTTGTCAGATGAGAGGGGGATGGAAGGTAATGGGCAAAATAGGGGAAGGGGATTAAAAGGTACAAACTTCCAGTTATAAAATAAGACACAAGGATATAATGCATATCATGCACAACATAGAGAATATAGCTAATAATATGTAACAACTTTATATGGTGACAGATGGTAACTGGATTTATCATGGTGATCATTTTGTAACATATATAAATGTTGAATCACTATATCATATGTCTAAAAGTAATATAACATTGTATGCCAGCTATGCTTAAATTAAAAAAAAAAAACCTACAACGACGGACACCTGGGTGGCTCAGTTCGTTAAGCATCTGACTCTTGATTTTGGCTCAGGTTATGATCTCACAGTTTCATAACTTTGAGCACCATGTCAGGCTCTGTGCTGACCCTGCGGAGCCTGGTTGGGAATCAATCTCTCTCTCTCTCCCCTGCTTGTGCTCTTTCTCTCTCCAAATAAATAAATTAAAAAAAAATTAAAAACACTACAGTGAGATATTGGTAAAATTAAAAAGACCAATCATACCAAGTGTTAAAAAGTATGTGGAACAATCAGAACTCTCACGCAATGCTGCAGGAATGTAAGAAAAAAATTGGAAAATGTAAAAGTTAAATGTATACCTACCATATGATCTAGCCATTTCACTCCTAGGCATTTATTTACCCAAGAGAAAAGCAAAATACATGTCCATAGAAAAAGTTGTATGCAAACGTTCATAGCAGCTTTACTTGTAATAGCCCAATCTGGAAACCACTCAAATCTCCATCTACACGTAAATGGATAAACTGTAATATAGCCATATAGTAGACTACTTGGCAATAAAAAAACAATGAACTGCTGATACACATAGTAACATACATGGGTCTCAAGTAATTATGCTGAAAGAAGCCACACACCACTGCTCCCCCAAAAAACATGCTGTATGGTTCCATTTATATAAAGTTACAAAAAATAAAAACAGTTCTGTACTGTCAAAAGAAGGATCAGTGGTTGCCTGGGGGCAGGGAGACATAGTGAAAGGTGGGAGTGACTAAAAGGGGCATGAAGAAACTCTGGGGAGGGGTGATGGATATGTTTACTATCCTGACTCTGGTGATAGTTTCACATGTGTATACGTATATCAAAATGTATTAAATTATATACTTTAAATATGTATGGATTAATGTAAGTCAATTGTACCTCAATAAAGCTATAAATAAAAAGCTTGTGGTAGATCTTCATAACACTAAATTGAAAAGATAATTATAAAGACAATGAGGCAAGTTGCAGATTACTATACTCTTACTTTTGCAAAAAAAAATGTGTGCATATTATTAAGAGAATATGCAAGGGGGCACCTGGGTGGCTCAGTCAGTTAAGCGTCCAACTCTTAATATCAGCACAGATCATGATTTCTTGGTTTTGTGCATTCAAGCCCCACTTTGGGCTCTAAGTGCTGACCACGCAGAGCCTGCTAGGGATTCTCCCTCTCTCCCTCTCTCTCTATGGCCCTCCTCTGCTCACACTCTGTCTCTCTCAAAAATAAATAAATAAACTTTAGGAAAAAAGGGATTATGCGATGAAATATTAGGGTACTATGCACTAAATGTTAACAAAGAAGAACTATTAAGTGATTCAAAAATGTTATAGATACATGTTTATTGATACGGAAAGATGCTCACAATATAGTGAAAGAAAAAGTGACAGCTTTTACAGTATGATCTTGTTTAACTATTTAAAAATCTGAAAGCATATAATCTAATATTATCACATACTGAGACATTTTCTTCAGCTTACATCAGCGGTTGTTAAATGCCTACCATAAGTTATCTGATACAGGTAGAATAAGGGAAAAACAGTAATTCCTCTTATGGTAAATAGCCTACATCAACTCCTGCCTTATTTACATGTAGAGTGCACATTCAGCAATAAATGTGTATGTGTACGGATATATGTAAGTGCTGTTAGTAATTTTTTTGTATGTATATGCCTTATTTCTGCAAACTAGATTACTAATTCAGTGATGTTTTCTTTATTGCCATTTGAAGCCGCAAACAGATCTAAGCAAATAGAAATGAACAAGTTAGCATACTTATGATAATGAACTGGTTCACTATCCTAAGTAAAATGTTAAAAAGTTCCCCATCTACACAAGATAAAAATCAACAGATATTTTTAGCTTACAATATAATATTCATTTGATATCTCAAAAATAGTCTAGCTCAAAACTAGAGACTGTCACAGGTAATTTCATGTTAAAGATGTAATTTATAATGTATGTACTGTAATAATAAAAACATTATGCAAGGGTCTATAGGGACAGCCTTTTAGAGTCTGAGATTGTTCAAAATGTTCACTTTTATTTCTGGCTCATTTTACATTGTTTCAATAATTACTTTAACTTCACGGAAAATGGCCATCAGTGTATTATAGCTCATGTGATCGACAACTACAATCGAGCCCTTTCTGATATGCTCCTTTATGTTAATAAATATGGCCACAGCACTAACAAGATTGGCTTTTGCCTCCTTCTGGTTAAAGATGAGTTTTAATGCTGCTAATGTTTTTGTATTGATCATATCTCTGGCTGCAGTTGGGTTTTCAGACATATTCAAAAGTACTTTTAAAACAAGATTTCTGGTTTTACGATTTCCCAGGGATAGCAAATGGAAAAGTTCTGAAAAGTAATTGGCAACAATGTGGTGATGGTCAGAATCAGTAGTCAGTTGCCCTAGTATCTTTAATCCAGATTGCTGTCCGGGTGAATTCAAGGGAAAAGACATGGTTTCTTTACACATATGCTTAACGTGTAATTCAACCTTGTGTTGTCTCTCACCTCCAGAAGGAGGATTCAGAGTAATTACAGCCTTTTTTCTTATTTCAGAGGAAGGAAAACTGAGCAAACTTTCAATAAGAGTCACTACACCCACCTCATTAATAAACTCCTGGGCAAAGGGATGAACATTAATGATCCCCATTGCAATTTGAGCTATTTTATGAATGAGAGGATCAGTAGTTGACTTAAGTAAGGAAATGAGTTTTTCAAATTCCCCAGAATCCATATAGCATTCCATTTTGCAAGGGCAAGCAAATGGCTTAATCCCATTCGCTTCCCTGATCCTAATTTGGCGTCTAATCTCCTCTATGGTCTGGATGCAAGGGTCAGAACCAAACGGATACTCAGGGACAGGCTGTGAGCATGAAGTCGTGCTCCTAGAAGAGCATGTTGTTGCCATAGGTAAAGAATGGGTATTTTCCTCAGCTGAGGCCAGGACAATATATGAAGGAGGCTTTGTCTCAAATGGGACTTGGGATCTAAATCCTAACACTGCTGGAGTTACAGCAGGGGCTTTGGGCCAGATAGTTACCTCAGACCAGTCCTTGGGCCTATTTTTCTCATTAATTTCATCCACAGGCTGGGGCCTAACTATCCTGCTCACAGGTCTAGGATTAGGGTCAAAGCTAGTTTCATCTCCATCCCAAAACCAGTTCCCAATAACATTTTCTTCCTCTTCCTCCTCAGCCCCTGGCCTAGCTTTGCAACTGGCCCCAGCGACAGGTTCCAACTTTTCAGCACAGGACAGAGGATCAATACCAGCTTTACTGTCATCCTTAGCACTGGAATGATTATTGGCCTCTTCTCCACTCCAAAACCAGGAACCAACATTGGCCTCTTCCCCAGACCAAAACCAGGTATCAATACCAGCCTTATCTTTACATGTGGACCCAGATTTAGTATTACCCTCAGCCACAGAACAAATCCAAGATACTCTAGAGGCCTCATCTTCAGCTTTGGGACTAAAATCTGCCAGGGCTCTTTCCTTTATCTCATGAACACTCCTGTTCTTAGACCTTGCTTTCATCGTTGCTGTTGTATCAGCTTGAGATCCTGCCTTGGCTATTGCTTTCTCCTGGGTCTTAGCTACAGGTCTGACTATGACAGTAGTCTCCCTCTTTGCTTTGGTTTGCACACCATCCCGTTTTTGAGCTTTGCCTTTGTTTCTATTCTCATTCTTAGCCCCAGTCATGGTTAAAGACCAGTTACATAGACAGTAGTGCTATACAGTCTTGGCCTTGGTTCTGAATGTGTCCCAGGTCAAAGTCTTAACACTCTTCCACTGGGTCAGACATAAACTTTGTAGCAAGAGTAAGTCATGAGCTCAGAAGTCATACAGTCCTCTTTCCAAACACAGAGCCTGTCAACAATACAGCAAGAAGACAGAGGCAATCACCCTGAGGGAAAATGATAGTTCCTGAGGGCAGACCTGTTGAAGGTGATGATCTGCCACTCCAAGGCCACTACAGCCACCACTGGAGATGGACCTGAGGTGGAAGAAGAAAACAAGCTTTAAGTCTCTTCCAATTGTGTTTCTCTATGCAGACAGCCACACGTGACATGATAGAATAGAGATGGATTGTGTGGTAGAAGTAGAATAGTAGAAAACTCTATTCCCTCATTTTATTCCTTCCACACTCCCACTAATGCCCAACAGTATCCTACCCAGGCACTAATGCCCTCTTTTTTCTATATCACATAGGAGCAGGGATGATGGAAAAGGGTGTTAAAAGTGAGAGAGGCTAAGAAACATCCAGGCCCTTTGGTATACACCACTATACTCTACAGGTCTATCCAGGTAGGTTTCACACTAACCTGTACTGATCTGGTGCGATTTTCTCCTCCTTCCTTGCTTCTAGGATCAAAAAGCCCTACAGCCAATTCACAGGCAGACCTTTGGACAAAAATACAGGAGAAATGGAATTTTGAGCATTTGGTAGCCAGGCATTTACTCTAGATTCTAAACTGAGTATCTGTCTTTCCAAATCTAGAACTTTGGTTATATAACATTTCTGCTCCCTTTGGTCCTCCTCATGGCTTCCCACCCCATTTCCTGGGTATCAATTACCCTGTAGGCATAATCCTGGCTTAATTTATCCTCATTTCCTACACACAAATATGAGGGTAGAGGTATCTGTAAAGTTGGAAGACAATGGCTCCAAGATATGTTTTAGTCTCACCTACTTGCCAATAGCCTATTTAAATCCCCAATCAATAGGCATGCTCATGCTCACAGTCACCTTGAATCCAAATGAATAGTTTTCTTCTTTTTTCTTAATTCAAAGTGAACAACTATCTACATATTTCTACAGGAACCTATAAAGGAACAAACTTAAGAATAGATAAAAAGGCAAAAGAGAGGGGCGCCTGGGTGGCTTAGTCGGTTAAGCGTCCGACTTTCACTTAGGTCATGATCTCGCGGTTCGTGGGTTCGAGCCCCGCGTCGGGCTCTGTGCTGACAGCTAGCTCAGAGCCTGAAGCCTATTTCANTGTATCACTGATTGGAACATATTACAAATGTCATTGATGTTTTCCATCTGCCCCCTTTCTTTAAAAAATTAATACAAATAACGTTATTCACTAGTAAACTTGAGATTCTGTCTGATAATAGTACTTATGTCGCTCAAGATATAGGGGCGCCTGGGTGGCTTAGTCAGTTAAACGTCTGACTTTCACTTAGGTCATGATCTCGCGGTTCGTGGGTTCGAGCCCCGCGTCGGGCTCTGTGCTGACAGCTAGCTCAGAGCCTGAAGCCTATTTCAGAGTCTGTGTCTCCCTCTCTCTCTGACCCTCCCCTGCTCACGCTGTCTCTCTCTCTCCTAGAAATAAATAAAAAATATTAAAAAAAAAAAAAGGCAAAAGAGAGAAAACAGAAGAGACTGAACTAGCCCAATACCCATCACAAGCATTATAACATAGACTTTTGTTTATTTAAGGCCATCTTAAATGTCTCCCACCTGTCTGCTCCTACCAAATGATTCCACATCAATTCCCCCAAGACCTGCAGCTTGTCTAATTATACTTCCAATTTTTGAATTAGGTCATTCTCCCAACAGAGACTACACCTCTTCTCCTAAACAAAATATGAAATGCAATATTAGATGGTGGGCAACTGTATTTAGAAAGCAGTCCGTGAAGATAACAAGGACTATTATTTCAATACCATCTTTGCATGCCCCTACCCTTCCCATTTCTCCATGCAAACATATATCCTACCTCATTACCACCTAAGCCAACCAGCCCACACAGCAGGGGTCCTCAGGAACTTCTATATTTCTCACCAGTTAATAGTTCCTTAGCTGGAGAAGAGTCACACGTTGGGAAGAAAAAAAAAAAAAAAAGAGGAGCATTCAGCAAAACACCAAGAGAATATGTTGACAATTGTAGGAAAATATCAGGTTAATAAGACAGATACCCAGAATTCAGGTCCTGACACTACCTTTTGAAGAATCAGGAAATAAGTAAATGAATGTAATAGGCTCTAAACTGACCCTTCAGAAAACACTCCCCTTTATTCTGGCCCACCATTCCCACACCTCAACTCGCCAGGATGTTGAGAAAAATGATCCTGAAGGAGAAAGGTGGATTAATACCACACTATTTTTTTTATACCACGCTATTTCTTTACAAGGACCCTTCCTTGTGAAAGGTGATCTACTCCTTATTCTGTCATTTCCTTCTATTTAATTGGGTGCAAGATATAAACATGGAAGGCAATAAAACTGCTGTATTAAGAGGTGGAGAAAACACTTCATTTTGATGTTTTCAAATATACCCACTCAACTGTCTTCTTGCTAAATGTGCCAGACCTATCTTGTAGAGATTTTGGCATCAACCAAGTGCCTGTGAGAGAGGACAGCACCCAACAGGCCCCTTTACAGAATCAAGGCCCTGGGTAGCAGAAGCCACCGGCCCACCCCACCCGCCAGTTGAGCACAGCGCTCCGACACCACCCCCAACCCCACACTCGCCCCAGCAGCCTCTCCCGGCACCACCCACCCCAACTCCCGCTCCGCCATTTCTTCCACAGCAGTCTCCCCCAACAGCTCTCTCCCAGCACAGCACCGTCGAGGGAGGGTCGTGGGAGCCTGGAAAGCTGGCTGCGGAGTGGCTGCCGCAGTTCGCCTCCAGTGGATATGAGGGAGCCTCTCCTGCCAGCCCCTGTGCCGTGGGCCGGGCCCCCGCCAGTCACTGCCTCTTCTCGCCAGGGGTCCCACGACGCTGCGCACCTCCGTCAGGGACCGGGTCGCCTCCTCCTTGCCAGGCTGCCAGAGGCTGGGGTCCGGACAGGCTGTAAGCCGGGTGACATTGGGGGTCCCCCCTCCCCACCCCACTTACCTTCACAGGCTCAAGGTGCAGGTCGTTGACCCTCCCCCCACCCCCCGCCTCCTCTCGGAGCTCCTCACTCGCGCGTAGCCAGAATCGCAAAGAGGCGTCCTGCCCCCGCCTCCCCGCTGCTGCGCCAATCAGGGTAGGGGCAGCGCAGGACGCAGCACGAACCGCTCGCAGCAAGGGTGTCGGGAAGGGGGGCGGAGGGATACGGTACTAACAGGCTAGACGCCCCCTCCCTGGCCCACCGTAGTTCCGACCCAGAGGGGGCGGGGCCAGGAGGAGCGCCAGCCTAAGGGGCGGGCTCACAGCAGACTGCCTCTGCCTACCTCCAAGGCGACCACCCCCTCACTGCTGGCACTTCAATAAAAGGGACCCTGGGACGATTGGCGGTGGGGGCTAGATCTCAAGGTCCGGGCGGGGTTTTGTGGTGGTGGTAGTGGTGGTGGTGATGGGGGTGGCAGTGTGCTGCAAGCAGCAGCGGATGGATATCAACCGCCCCTCGGTGTGTGAGAACCCCTAGCCTGTTCAGTGACTGCCCACCTCCTCCTCCCCCCCCCCCCCATTCCGCCCGCCCTCCTTCCCGGTGGCTGATGGGCTGGGGCTGTGAGAACAACAGGATTAGAGGGGAGAGGCTACTTAAGGCGAGACCAACTGGCCCTCCTGGAGTTCTTCATTGCTTCCCGGGGCCATGGAGAGCAGGAAGTGGGAAGGGGCTCTCATGGAGGCCCACCACTGAGACTTTTCTGTAAAGAGAGGCCGACCTACACCTCTAACCTGAGAAAACCAACCAGTGCTCTGTGCCCATTTTTTTTTTCTGCCACACCGCTTCCCAACCCCGCCCCTCATTCAAACTGATTCAAAGCGAATATGCTTTGCCATTTCGCAGTCCCTACAGTTGCCTAAGAAGGAGGGCCTTTCCCTTGTCAGGACCTGCACTGGGTCATAGGATCTTTCCTGACTATTGCCCCATGGCCAGGTGTCAACATAGTCCTGGCTCCTTTTTCACTGTCCTATCAACTCTCTTCTTGCAGTCATATCCAAGCTTTCATGATCTTTGGCAATGTGGAAATGTGGCAGGGATTAGAACCAGCTTGGATCTCAGCCACTTGCCATACACACTTGTCTAGTTTATCCATTAGAGCTATTAACATATTAAGGTTACTTATTGGTATTCCCTGATACTTTCAAATTCTGCATCATATCTGAGTCAGGTTCTGATGCTTGCTTTGTATTTTCAAATTGTGCTTTTTCTTGCCTTTTAGCATGCCTTATAATTTTGTGTTGAAAGTTGGATATGATTCATTAGGTGATATGAACTGAAGTGAACAGACATTTAGTGAGAAGTTTTAAAGTTAAGCTGGTTAGCAGTTGGGCTGTGGGTAGTTTGCTGTAGCTGTAAGTGCTCTGGACTTCAAATTCCTCTAGAGTCCTTATTTTTATGTCCCCTCTAAACTTTGGGCTTCCCTAATTACTCCTTGTAGAGAGTCTACATCTTGCAGCTCTTTTAGCTTACTCTACTGTTATGACACTGGAGGCTTGTTAGCAATGTGATAACGTGTGGAGGAGAGCAAGTGTTCCATCATATTATGATTAAATTCCAGTGTTTGGTGAGCCTGTGTCCCTAAGCTATGACCCTCACAAGTGTTTCTTAGCGTCTTTCTCTTCTTTATTTGAGAATCGAAGTCTATAATAGGCTTGATAGGTGGAATGCCTTTCCCTCAGCTGGGATAAGGCAGACCGAAAGGCTTTTCCACTGGAAAGTAGGCCTTTATCTTGGAGAAGGTTCTAGGTGTATTCCTTCTCCTACAGCCATGTGGGGCTCTTTCTGAAATGTTTACTTGTGAGAATCTATCGGAATTCCTAGAGGTAAAGCTCACTAACCTTCTAAGCCAGCATGTCCCCATGAGGTTTCTTACTCACAAACTATTCCATATTCAGTATCTAACAATTTGTCAAACTTACCATTTTTATGTTTATGTTTCTAGTAGTTTCTGCTCTAAGAAGAGAGAGAGGCTGTGACTCTCCAGGTTTGTCTTCTCCATAATTTGGGGTGATTATTTGCCCTGTAACCTAAGTTCTTTGATCGGTCTAAGATAAATCATTGCTTCTCAATTTATTCAGGTTTTTTTTTTCTGTTTAGAAGTATAGGAACAATGACTTCCAAACTCTTTACATGTCCTAACTGAACCTGGAAATCTGGCTTATGGATTTTAATGGGGTAGATAAAGTCTAGTGAACATAGCATTTGTCCTCTTACTTTCAGCTATGTATTAGATCTGGGAATAAAGTTGCCCTTGAAAACCAAGCTGCTCCATAAATATTGTCTCTTTTCCCTCCCAGGTATAGAATGTTTATGTGTCTCCCTGATTCTGGCATCGCAGCCCCCAAATTCATAACTTGGAGTGCATATTAGAGTTCAAACTTGCAATTCAAAATTCCTGGTGGTGAGATCTGGGCAACTGTGACTTAACCCTAGGAGAAAAGAGTCATCACCACCACCACCACCACTACCAAGAAGCAGTGTACTATACTACTAGGTGCTTGCTTAGACTAGAATGGCAAGTTTCTGAGTCCTGAAAGCATGTTCTAAAAGGAGGCTATACTGGGGCACATGGGTGGCTCAGTCGGTTAAGTGTCCGACTTTGGCTCAGGTCATGATCTTGTGGTTCATGAGTTCAAGTTCAGTGTCGGGCTCTGTGCTGACAGCTCAGAGCCTGTAGCCTGCTTCAGATTCTGTGTCTCCCTTTCTCTGCCCCTCGCCTGCTTACACTCTCTCTCAAAAAGTAAATGAAATTTTAATTTTATTTTTTAATAAAGAAATGTAAAAAAGGAGGCTCTACTCTGGAACATGGCCAGACTTCAGAGCCAGGCAGTCCCAAACTCAACAGAGAATTTTCACCATTAATTATTTGTGTCACTTTGTAAAAGGTACTTAATGTTTTTAACTGTTAATTTATCCCTCAGAAGAGGCTGGTTATAACTACTTCACAGGATTCTTGTGCACACTAAATTAGGAAGTATCTGATATTCTGAAATATCTGCATGTATCAGTTCTTTCTAGTTTCTCTTAAAATTGCCATCTAGTCATATTATGAGGTGGGCTGGGGAAAGTAGGAAAGAGTAAATGAGAACTCCATGGTGGGTTTTAGTGGTCAGAATTGATAAGAAATTGTCACTATGCTCTTTTTTACTGTAACCTCAGTACTTTGTATATTGTGTTGCTTACCATAGCCCCTTACTAAAATAATGTCATTTTTGCATAGGGTATGCCTCCCTTCTCCTTGTAGTCATATAGCACAGGGAGGCTGATCCCTGTTCCAGGGGTAAGTCAGCTTGCTCTAGGGGTAATCCATCCCCTTGGTACTCTGGTTCAGAGTTCAGGGATGGTGATATAATTCTACTAATTAAGGCATTAGGAGAAGATTGCAGAAGGACTTCTAAGCAAAGTTTCCTCACTCATAAGAAAAGGCCATCAGGAAACAGTCTCCTTTTTTCAGGAAGTTGCTTGACACCTGCAGTTGTTGCAGTTCTCAAGCTTCTAGCCTTAGGACAGAAGTCGGTATTGTGAATAGAAGAAGAAAGAAATGGCAAAAAAGTGAAGTCCTTAGCTGAATGGAACAATCATCAAAGTCGCTCTGCCTCAGTACTTGCAATCTGTGGATAATAATTTCCTTATTAGGTTAGTTTTGGTTGAGTTCCTTGTTATATGAAAATAGAACAATCCTAAATGATATCTATGCTTAGGAAGAAAACACCTTTTCAATGAGCAGTAAGTAGTTCCTGACTTTTGTCTGTCACCGAGCATCTACCTCTTGAAACCAGTGTCAGAAACTCATGTTTCCACATGAAAGGAAGACTGTAAATTCTGATCACCTTGCCTAATGATTGCTACAGGTCTGATAACTGTGGTTGGCTTCTGTTCTATATTGAAAACGAAACTCTCAGGCAGAAAACTGAAGCCTTTACTTATCTAAGGGTCTCAGAAGTACATTAAGTGCTTGAGCTCAGTTTCAGTTCAGAGAGGCATTGTATGAAAATGCACCCTTATGAAATATCCATAATGTAAATATTAGAGATTATCTGCTTTCAGTTCAGGGGGGTGTACTGAATTTGAGTAAGATAAATTCATAATGTCAACAGTCAGAAAAATTTGGTTAACTTTCCTCAGGTGCACTGTACTAAGCAACACAAGTATAAAAAAAAAAGGTGAATATTTGGGATTTCTCAAGAGCTGAGATTTTTCCAGGACAGCGAAACCAGGCACTAGAGGATTGAGGTGAGGGAGTAGAAAAAATGATTAACCACGAAGGCCCACTAAATTGGGAAGGAAGAAAAAGGTGGAGTAGGCTGATACACAGAAAGAAGGAGTTAACGGACAGGAGGTCTAACAACCTTCAGGTTTAAGTTTCTTTATGATGAATGAAGTACTTTACTACAGGCTATAAGAAACAGAAAATCTTATGATGAAGTTAGTGATGGTGATGATGATAGCTTTTAGTGATAATTAGCACTAGAGGGATATAAACATAGCAAAGTGGTAATGCATACCAGCTCTAGATTCCAACTACCAAAGTTTGAATTTCAGAACCTCTGCTAACCACTTCAGTGAGCTTGGGTAAGTTACTTAACCAGTCTGTGCCTCAGCTTCCTCATTTGTATAATGGATGCAACAATGGCACCTACTCCAGAAGTTTGTTTTGAAGATTAAATGAATTGATAATTCAGAATCCTTAGAAGAGTATTTGGCTCATACAAAGCATCCAATAAATCTTAATACTAACAGTAATTACTATTATAAGTAATAAAAGGCTCAGGCATTGTGGTCAGACAGACTGGGGTTTGGTTCATACTTCCAGAGTCCAAGTTTCTTCTTCTATACTACCTATCCTTCAATATTAGTTCTATCTTACTCACAAAAAAGACTTCAGTATATGATATAAAGAAACAAATGCCAAAATAGGACCAAATAAAATACTATATAAGTACAAAGGATGGAGGAATTACTTCCTACCAAGATGTAAAGAGTAAGATGAGGGTATGAGAAAAGCTTCAAATCCTAGCATTTGAGACTGAGCCGAAAATTGCCTATGTTTTTCCATAGGCAGAGAAATGGTCACAAGAGCATCGAAGATTGAGGAAATAGTGTGGTGAAAGGTACAGAGGTAGTAAAGTACAAAGTATAGTTGGGTTGGGAAAAAGCAGAGAGTCCAATGTGGCTTGTGTGCAGGCAAAGTGGAGAAGGGCTTGGACTACGGTGAAGCACCTGAAAGTGA